TTTCTTTTTTACAAATTTTTGGAAGATATAACTGATTTATGGAGAAGTGTAAGTGTTATTTCTCTCCTAGCCGTACATAAATATTGTCCACTCTCAATCCCTCAGTTGTACACAGAAAAAAAACTTCAAACTTTGGTTTCACATGATATTAAATTAATTTTTTTAAAGGGACACAACAGTAGTTTGCTACTGGAGGTATCAGTAGTGTTGCTCATGTTTTTGCGCTAAGTCAGGCACACCCTCTATCATGGTTTTGAATATTATATTATGCATATTTTATGATTAATTTATTCTTGGTTAGGAAATATATAAGATGGTAACTAGTAGTCGCTTATTGCATAAGTAATATTATTGGTATAAGATAATAATTCATAATAATTTCATTTAGTATTTAATAATTTGAAATAGTAAAATCAATGATGTTTTTGTAAAAAAAATTATTCTTCTATTTAAAATTAATACACCAAGAATCTTATCCAACTTTCTGCCTTTATAGAATAGAATTTGTATACATTATCACCCAATTAAAGTTGTATTACAAATTAACATTAATTTCATTTAGTGCAGTAACCATTTTTACTAATACATGTTTCCTGATAGTTTATGAACTAGAATAATGGAAAGACTCAATTCTATGACATAGTCAACTGTGTGACACTATATGTAGCACCATACACTTCTTTAACTAGGTTTTCTGTAAATTTACTACAAAAAAGGCGTAGGTTAAGAACCTTGAGAGATTGACTTAATTTTCCTGTCAATGCCAATAATAATGTTGTTTTACCACTTCCTGGTGGACCAAGCAATAAGGTCATCCTGCAACAGAATAACGAAGTGTTAATAATGAGTATACTAACAATAAATTCAGTCAATAAGTAAATAATCATATTACATTAACATTATGAAACTTCACAAAAACATACCTTCTTGGCTTAATAATGCCACTGGCACTTTTGATGATGCTTCTCTTGAAATTTTGAGAATTCAAAACAGACAATTTAGTGGTGTCCTTAAAAAAAAGGGAAGTGTTAGATAGCGAACAAATAATATATTAAAGGGTGTATTAAAATATTAGTGTTTTTAGAGAAGGTACTTTCAATTCAGAGAAAAATACTTACAAGGATCCACTCTTTCAAGGCATTCCAAAGGGTAGGTATGGGCTTGCCCTTAATTATCTTACACTCAGCTTCCACGCACAGATTATGATACCTCACTTCCACTGTGGGCAACTTAATTCCAACTCTACAGAGTAAATTAAAAACACTTCTATTAACCATTTTCATTTTTACTTGATAAACTATGATGTATTTACAATTTAGAGGTTTAGTAGACACCATTCGACCATATATTAAGACACTATAATTCATCCTATTAACATGAAATTTTCATATCTAGTAATATTCTGTTATATTATATATGACAAATGATGAAAATGTCATGTCATTTACCACTAGCTAGTTTTATTTTCTTTTTGTAGCGTTTGTCACTAGACACAGCCTGATAAAATTAAAATTTAATTGACTAATAAAATGATTAATAAATTATAACATTTCAAAGTAATATGCCATATCCCCCAGAGGGAAAGAGAGAGAATATAAGAGAAATGATTACTTGTCAATTCTTTTCCTGAGTTTCTGCAGCAATAGAAGATTATCATTTTCAATATGCTTTATAAGCTTCTCTATGAACATGTGCCGTTCTTGAGGTCCAAGCTTAGTGACATCAACAACCTGTTTCCCTATGGTTTTCTCACTTGTTTCCATGCCATCATAAACATCAAACAAAGCTGAAGTAATTCTCTTAGATGTTGGTAGCCTCTGAAGTTCAGCCCACCGTAACACTTCTTCCTCATCATTATCAACCTCTTGTTGCACAGGATTTATGCTTGAAATGCTCCGAAAACTGGAGGTATGGCTTCTAAATGAGGATCTTATACTCCTTCCTATCTCAGCCAACTCAATTCTTAGAGACTCTATCTCATCTGCACCTACCAGCTGCGCCATCTCAGCACAAAACACTAAGAGGAATAAACCTCAGGTATATGATGCAGTTCATATTTTTCACTTGTATAACATTATATAGAAACCTTCCTGCTGAGTTTATAAGCTTGACCGTGACAGTTGCTGATGTAATGCATTATGTCATGCATTATATTGTAGTGTGAATGGCAATTGAACAAGCTATTGAGGTATCAAATGAAAAGGAATTCAATTACAGATCCATTTTTATATTATTACTGTAACTTAGCTTTCACAGATACATTAATTAATCACCAAAGTCCATGCCGCCTAGACATGATTGGAAATATTTTACTAAGAAACAGGAAGGTATACATGGTCATAATTTAATAAAGAGACGCAAGGATATGTCAAAGTGGCATGGTTCAATCCTTTTCTACTTCATTTTGTGAAACAACAAGCTTCCAGCCTGTTATTCAAATACAACAAAAAGATCTGCTTCTAAATTCTGGCTAGTTCTCTTCCATTGCCTTCAGTGAGAATAGGGGCAATTTTTGGAATATCATGATGTTTAATAATAAAATTCCATTGACCTGTTATACTATGTAATGACCTCTTTATCCTTGAGTCTAGATGAAATACTTACATATCCCGTTATGGATTTCGAAAGGCATTGAACTCGGGACTCAAGGTGGTACGCTGAATAAAATACCTAGGAACAGATTGTTATTTGGTCCAGTGAAACAACCAAAGTTTTTTTGTAAGCATACGAAATTTTGTTAAAAGTGTGTTCAAGGCATTAGCTGAAAATATAAGAGATAAAAGTCAAAGCATTACGACTAAGTTGATTTTGAATTTAATTGATTATTAGCATTGGAGCAAGAACATGCCATCTCAAAAGTTTCTTCTAATAAATCATTCATAAAATTTTGGCTAAGATCAAGTGTAGTATCTGTTCTTATCAGTTTAATATCTGATATGTGAGTCAATGACTCACACGATATTAAATTAATTTTTTAAGGGGAGATTTCAGTACAGTAGCTTGCTACTGGATTTCTCAGTGTCGTTTATGTGTTGCACTACTGCATGAGCTTGGCACACCCAATATCTAAGTTTGAATGTTGTAGTTAGTTCTTCAGTCTATGTTGATACTTAGTACTTTAAACAAATTTATAGTTAGTTATATGGTCTATATATAATGAAGTTTTTAATTAGTACTTTAGTCTGTATGGAATTTTGTACTACTGCATGAGCTTGGCAAAAATTGGCAATTAGTACTATTTATAGGAAACTTTGCTATAATTTCAAATACTAATTGTAAATATGGATATGAAGAATGTGGTATTCTGAATCAAATTAACTTGCAAATCTTGTTATGAAGAATGTGATAATTTTGATTTGTTATTACTTTATTTGAATATTATATCATTTGATTATTAATTGTTTACTTGAATATTATATCATTTTGATATAATATTAATCTACTTTTATATATCATTTTGATATTATTAATAGTTTAATTGAATATTGTATTATTTTGATACTATTAATAGTTTACTTGAATATTATATTATATTGATATTATTAATAGTTTACTTGAATATTGTATTATTTTGATATTATTAATAGTTTACCTGAATATTGTATTATTTTGATATATTAATAGTTTACCTGAATATTGTATTATTTTGATATTGTTAGTAGTTTACTTGAATATTGTATTATTTTGATATATTAACAGTTTACTTGAATATTATATTATATTGATACTTTATTATTTATTTGTTCTTACTAAGCAATTACATAAGCTGATAATTTCATGATTTTGAATTATATCAGAAGAGTTTGTGAATAAAGTTGAAAGTTACACTGCAACCAGAAAGTGTAGTGAGGCACTCAAAAATGTAGTTAAACAGTAAGCAATTGCTTGAAAATTTTTATATTTAAAGGGAAATTTCAGGCACTCGAGTACAACACTGCTGCAACAATATTTTGCAATATAGTTAATAAATTGCCTGTGATATGAGATTAAGTTATATCCCATTTGAAGAGATTAGGAAATTATACTAGATAATTGGTAATAAAGAACAAAATAATCAGTCCATTTGAATAGATATAGGTTCTAAATTTTATCATAGTCCTAACAAGCTCTTGTTATCAGAGTTAGAATATCTTTATTATTCATGATCCTTTGGACCTTACTCATTTCCACAAATCCACCCTCTAATCCAAACACACCTTGAAAGAATACTTTTATAATTGGCCAGAATACTTTTTGTTGCATGGTGGAGTGATGGAGTTGAGAGGACATAATTCGTGGCAAGGTAATATAAGTTTAATAGGTGACATGGTAGTAAGATATGGAAAATTATGAACTGCTGCTTAGGATACATTCTTTAGTTCTATAATTTTAGTAAAAACATCATATTATATAGTAACAAAGCAACTGACCTGAAGCATCAGATATTGCGAACAGGAACAAAGAGCATAGATACCATAGGTAGTGTCCCATATTATAGGTAAAGTCAAACTGTTTCAAAAGGTATAATCCTGAATTTTTTTAGTTCCTTGTCCCATTGTTACATTGAGCCTCAAACCTGGAGATGATAACTCACAGTTTTACTTCATTTATTGTAGGTTCAAGTATCTTGACACAAGATTTATCAGTGAAGAACTGTAATCAGACCCTGCCCTCAATTATTATTTCACTGTTACAAGTAATAAAAAGAGAGCTCAATTTGACTAAATACTAATTACTCTACCATCAATTCATTAATCCTGTACACCAAAATATTCGGATGTTCAAGTTCTTTTCAGCAGTTAAAATGAATGTTAAAGCTTAAATTTAACTTTACAACAAGCACATAGAAGCTAGGCTGAAGTTGTAATTCATGACAAATGAAGCTTGATTGCATAACTAGGCATCGGTCACTTCTTCCATGTCAAAACAACAATATGCCGCTGCTCCCATAGAATGGAGTAAGTACATAATACAGATGCATTAGGATTTTGAACTAAGATTTCATCCTCAAAATTGTTCCCTTATTTATCGTAGGTCATCATTGTCAGCTTTTCCTGCTCTATGTAGTATACTTTGTCGTTCATACCCTCTTTCCTATATGCTTCAATCATGATCATGTATGTTGTTTCGTCTGCTTGACATTGGCTATCTTTCATACGCTTGAAAACCCGCTCCATTTCCATCAAATCCTCTGCCTTTGCACATGCAGACAAGACTGCGTTATAAAAGGCAACATTCTCAGGTATCTCAAACTTTCCAGCCAAGTGAACACTGCTAATTACTTTATGGAAGAGACCTGCATTTGCATAACCATTGATAAGGCAGCAGAAAGTTTTGGTATCTGTTTTCATACCCTCGGCACGCATCTGATCAAATGTACATTCCATGTGCTTAACGTCACCTGCATCTGCGAATGCCTCAATCACATTGTTATAAGTAGAGGTCGTCCATGGAAATTGCAACTTCCGCATATACTCCATAACAGATGACATTTTGTCATACATTTTTTTCTTTCCATAAGCACCAATCAAAATATTGAAAGTGCGCGTTTCAGGTTCTATCCCAAAGTTACGGAATTTTTCATACCATTTCTCCATCATATCAATCTGACCCATGTTACCAAAGACACTGACGATCGTGTTCATTGTCCAAACATCAGGCTTGCACGCAGTGCTTTCCAACATGCTGGACAGAACCTTCTCCATATGATCAAACTTCCCGGCCTTGCCATAACCACCCAAAACAATGTTCTGAGTGACTGTGTTTGGCGTGATGGACCTTTCAGCCATTTCTTCGTACAGGGCCTCAACCAAATCAAATTTGAAAGCATCCACACAAACTTTGATCAGGGTACTGTAAGTGAAAACATCGGGCTGGCAAAGAGGAAGCTTCTTCATCTCGTTAAGAACTGAAAAAGCTTCATCAATAAGGTTGCTCCTGCAATACGCAGCAAGCAATGCTGTGTACAGATAAGGAGTAGGTTCTAAACCTTCTTCAATCATTGTGGTGAAAAGTTGGTGGGCACGGTGGGGTTGACCAGATTTTCCAAGCAACACGATGAGTTTCAAATAAGACCCTTCTTTGGGTTGGTAGAAGGTTTGTTCTCTAAGCATATCAAATACCTGTACATTGAAGAAGGAATCTTAACAATAGTTTAACAGATACATGCACTAAAAGTTCCTAGAATGGCTTTTAAGGTAATTATTATAAGCTAAAACCCTAAATAGTAAAAAAAAAAATCATATTAGTTCCTCAAAAATCTAACATTTAACTTATGTGTAAACTAATTTTAACCTACGGAGATATTAATTTAATTTTTCTTTATTATTTTTCTGCTTAGATGTGCTAATGAAGAAGTTTCTCTATAAAGACCCTCCACTTGAGTTCTTGTTTTAGTTTAGTCTTCCTAACTTCAAAACTTTTATTCAATTGCTAGATCAAGTTGATTCCTGTGTCAGTTTACCATACCACCAGGTCAACTGGTGACAACTAAATTAACGTCATTATTGCAAAAAAACTAACAAAAGGACTAATTTGGGTCTCACAGATACACTTTAAGAGCTCAAAGTAAAACTTTAAAGAAGAAACTAGAACAAAAGGATTAAATGGGAGACAAAATTATATTTTAACCATTATATATAAGTCAACAGCTTATCAGTGCATATATTGTTTATTCTCCAATCAAACAATAAATTTGACACAACTAAATAAACAGTCTACAAAACCCCCCTCAAATTTATTTCATAAACATATAAAAGTGTTGAATTTGATTGTGAAAACCTGGAGGGCTTGAAGCCACTGCTTCTTGTCGATTTGTTCAGATAAGGATTCGGTGACAGTGTTGACCCATGCCTTCGCACTGTTCTTTTTGTCCAACTTCTTCTTGATGTTCTTGATGGGAGTTCTCCTCGTACTATCGTGAAACAATGTTTCGGAAGTACCAGGAAACTCGCCTTTTTTCCAGTGTCGCTTTTTGACAACGGGTTTGGAGGGTGGAGAGGAAACGGCCAAGCAGGTAACCCGAAAAGTGGGGTTTTGAGTGTGGATTCTGTTGGATTTGTGGCGGGGAATTGGAGAGGGAACAATGGAAGAATAGAAGGAGAGAGATACGGAAGCCATGGCCAGAGATTGGGAAAGAGGAAGAAGAAGAGCGAGTGTGGAAGACTCACATCCCTCAAATCAATCCAATGCACCATTTTTACTTCCCTCGACAAGATATCTCATAAGAGAAGATAAAATTCACCAAATAGTAAAAGCAAATATTCACAATTTTTTATCTTTTCTTTCTTTCTTTTTATTTAAATTTTTTGGAGTCATATAAAAAAATTTAATAGAAAATGAAAAAATAAAACCAAAGAAAATAAATAAATCTATAAAATCCTTTAAAGTTTTTATTTCATACTTGTAAATCCTTTAAAAATTAAATTACAAAAGTCTAATAATAATTTTAAAAAACTTTTAGAAAATTATTATGTTCTAATAAAATCATTTTAACTTTAGAAATCCTACATACACTGCTATAACAATTTTTGTAATCATAAAAAAACAAAATATGCTTCCTAATTTTACACTGATCATTTTTTGTTTATAAATATAAAAATTTGTGAACAATATTCTCTTATTACTCTTTTCTTAACACATTATTTTGTGTTAGAATTTACTAAAAACTATAAGATTATATAAGATATAGATATTAAATAAAATATGATACTCACAAATTTTTATAATTACTAATACATTTTCACTAATAACATGTGTCATATTTTTCTTAGATATTTAAATCTTTTACATTGTTTTTATGCATTTTACACAACCAACTTATTTTTTTTATCAAATAACATAAATTGATCTCAGTTCCTACTTTCTTTTCGTACTTTTTTTCTCTTCAACCAATTGCACCATTTTGATTGGGTGGATAGAAAATAAATAAAGAAAAAGACAAATTTAAAGTTGAATTAGAATAAAGTAGAGGGAAGAAAAATTTTGAATTTTTGTTTGGTGATATTTATGGCTTAAATTTATGTTGTGTTTAATATCTTATTTTTATATTTTCTTTTTAAAACTTTATAAAATGTTATTTTGATTTATTTAGTTTTCTTTTATCAATATTTTTAAAATAGAATCGATCGAGTAAAAATATGAGTTCAAGATTTAAGGGTGGATCTCGGATTTAATTAGATCTAACATAATTTAATAAAATAATATTTTAATAATATAATAAGTTTATTAATAATAATAATATTTTTTATAAAAAAGAAAATTAATAAAATTAGTATTATAATTATCAAATGATAAAAATTATAAATATAAAATATATTAAATAATAAAATATAAATAATTATTAAAATAAAATAAAAATATAAAATAATTATTATTTAAAATTTATGTAATTAATATAAGATAAAATAAAAATAAAATATATTATCGATTTTTTTAATTAAAATCAATTGGACCAAAAATTTAATCTTGTATTGATTTATAAAGTCAAGAAGCTGATTTCTAATTTGATTTTCAATTCAACCACAATTCAACCGATTTAACCGTCTGGTTAGATTAAGAGTGATATTTATCTCTTCAAATATTTGTGTAAAAGTCAATTTCCCCAAAAGTAACAAATTCTTTGTTTCTCCAAAAACTTCTTGTCTCATAATAAGAAAGTCGACTAGCAAAGTCTTCGTTAAAAACTAATAGAAAGAAATGATTCAGAACATAAAAAATATTTATTTTCATTATTTTTGTATAGAATATTTAAAATAAAAAAACATATTAAAAATAAGATGATAATTTTGTAAATTATAAGTAAGAAAAGATAAATATGATAATAAAATATAGTAAATAAAGTCTTGCTTTCTGAAAAACAATAAATATATCAGTATTTGTGTTCTTTTTTCAATGTCTTCTTTTAACACAACCAAGTGTACATAAAATGCATCTTATTCTGGAAAGTAAAGCATAAGTAATAAATTGTCAGTGTATACATGAAACTTGAATTTTAATATTTTAAAAAAAAATTATCAATAGTAAAAATAATATTATATCACAATACAGTTATTTTTGGTATAAACCTAAATTTATAATTTATATATTAAAAAATATTATTTATTATAAATTTAAGTTACATAAAAGAATTTTGTTCTTTATACGACTAAAATACTAGTTGTGTGATAAAATGGTACAGAGAATGTTATTTTCGAAAAATATTATAAATTTAATCGATAAAAAATATTATCAAAATATTAAAGAAAAATATAAAATATTTATAAAATAACAGCTATAAAAAGTTGTCATGAAAACAGTTATACAATATTTAAAATAAAATAAAATTATGAACACCAGGACCGACTCAAGACTCAAACTAGAATCCTTGCTTTAGCTCCCTAAAAACAAAAGGCCTCTCAAGTTTTTTTTAATAAATTATATTTTTTTAAGAAAAAAATTAGTTAGTTAATATTAATAGTTAAAGAAGTTAAATTTTTTTTATCTCATTTCTTAAACTAATTAATTTTTTATTTATTTTTTTCTCTCGACTTTTATGTTTTTATCTGTTCATTTTTTTACTTTTCGTACTACTCGAGTTTGATGGTTTGATACACATAACACATTAGTTAATGACTTAATATTTTTAACTTCTCATATGAGTCATTTCTTATATATTGTGTACTTGTGTTGGTTGGTGGCGTTCGGTTGGTGTGTATTTCGATTTCACTGATTTCAAAGAGTAGAAGAAGGTAACAAAATTCAAGTAAGAAGCTATTTGACATTTCTTTCTTTACAGTACATCATATTAGGTAAAAATCTAAAATTTAAAACTTGTTGTACATTATGATACTATGATGGTGTCTCTTTCAATTTATCGTTTATCGTTTGCGTATTTACAGTTTTGTTAAGTTTTTTTTACCGTTTATTTTCTTGACAACTCTTAACCAAAACCAGGTTTTATTGTTTCAACTCATTCTTTCTTATATACTTATATATGAAAATATTTTTGGTTTTTTATTTAATGTTAAAAATTTAAAATCACTAGACTATATAATTTTGAAAGAAAATGCTTAAATCTTGAAAAATCTTTGAAACATGATAATTTGTTAGATCTTAATGGATTATATTTATTTTTAGAATTAAATATCTTAAAAGAAATTATAGGATTGGAAAACAATAAACCAATTGATATTCTTAATTATATAAAAAGAATAAATTCTTTTCCAAATGTATATATAGGTTATAAAATAATATTAACAATTCCTATATAAGTCAATTCAATTGAAAGGAGTTTTTTAAAATTAAAAATAATAAAAAATTATTTAAGATCAACCATGTCTCAATAAAGATTAAATAAATTGACTTTATTATCTATTAAAAAAAATGTTAAATAAAATTAATTATGATAATTTAATAGATAATTTTGTATAACAAAAAATTCAAAAAATAAATTTTAAATAAAACTATGATATATTTTATCGTAAATTATTTTATTACTAAATAAAATATCTCATTCTTAAATTTGTTTTATACCTCTAAATTTAGAACAGCCGGTGGTGAACACTAAAATGTTATTACAAATATTAATAGAATAGATAAATGTTAATGATGTTCATCTGCACCACCAGACCCATTTCTTGAGTTCCAGGATTAACTTTTGCATACGAGAATTGAGATTCCCAAATTCATAAATCATATTTTTATGATTAGAAAAGCAAAAATAGAATAATAGGATGCATATGACACGAATTAATAAAACAAAGGAACCACCTTCCCCACGTCTGATTAAGCTGTTACCACTAACGTGTTTGTTATTGTCTGTTTCTGGATCAATATTTTCCTAGTGATGATATCATCCATGAAAGGAATATTAAACTAAATAATGAATGATAACTAAAAGAAGATTAAACAAAACCATAAATATTTTATATTATATTCATGTAACGTCTTTAAATTGCTAACAATGCTATCTTTATCATTACACACAATGGCCTAATAACATAGCATTGACCGTGTTTAACAAGGTTGCATGATCAAGATTCTGTTATGAACATGTGAAGTTTCAATCCTTTCCCCATATATATTGATGACAGCTACCATCACTGTTGATGTATAATAATATATTATGTCTATACTCTACATACTCAAAAGCTAAGACTTAGACAGTTTCTAAAACAAAATAAAAAGGTGCAACTACATCAGAAAACACCTGATATGCAGGCATTATATTACCCCATACTTCAGTGATTCCCAGTTGAAAGGCTGGAAGACATAATAAACTCTAGGTGAGCTTTTGAAGAGCAAAGCCACACAGACACACACGGCTGCTATGGCCACCATGGAGAGCAAGACTGGCCTATAAACCACTGCTTTTCTCCTGCCACCATAAGCCAACTTCTGCTGGCATACACTGCATTGACTTGCCATTTTTATGGTTTCAATCTTCTCAGTCTGTAAACTTAAAACTTTACCTGTCCTAAGTTCATCTGATAGCTTCTGCTTTGTGTTAACACTGTTTACAACAGTGCCAGGAATATCAACCACATGTTGTTTCTCATCCTTTTTGTCGATCTTCTTCTGGACAAGTTGAATGTAAGAGTAAAAGCCCCTAAGGCATGCATAGTCGTTGGGGGTCAAACCTGTACTGTCTTGGGCACTTTTCCATGCTTCAATTCCTACCTGAATACAACAGACATAAGGTTAAAAGCATTGAGTACTTAATTGTAAATATACTGAAAACCACGTAAGTTTCCATGCACATGCATTCCCTGCCAAAATGTTCATGTTAGATAACACACTCGCTGTAAACCTCATCAAGCTTTGAGGCGGAGTATGAAAGGACTGATCGTGCCTATTTAACGAGTGTGCCTACTAGAAACTATTACATTGAACTCAAGGGTCACCTCATTTCTCTTCCTATTTTCTATAAACACATTTTGAAGAAACAATATTTTTCCTTGTGAGTAGCTCCCAGTTACTCCCATAGTTTGAACTAGCTCAATGCAAAAGCCTGAGAAAACATAAAAGTTACAGTATACAGACAATAAAGGAATTACCATTCCTGGATCATCAGTTAATGCATCCAACACGTTCTCCGAGCCACTCATACTTGCTGCCACATGAAGAGGAGTCAAGCCAGC